CTACGCGAACGAGATGCGCGTACTTAATTTTCCATGGAGACTGGGCATTCTGATTGTTTATTATTCTGTGGTTCAGACTTACTTGGCCTCGATTTTGGAGGCATCAGCCATGTTTACACTTCTAGTCTAGCCTTGAAAAGTATTGTTATATCCTCGATTGATATTAAATTCTGATCTTGTGCTTATTGTTAGTTATGTGGTGTGCTATTGTGGATTTCAGATTATGTGTCCCTGACATGCCATTATTTCATTGGTGTTAATATATTCTTATTCATAACTTCTTTTAGTATCGATAATCAGATCTTGCTCATTCTATCAGTGAGTTTGCTAACCATTTGCTTGATTTAGTCAGAAGATGGCTGATTTTTTAATTTTCCTGTTTATACTGTTTCCTTCAAAATTATTGAAGCATATTTCCATTGGACTCTGTTCCAAATATGTTTGGGTCTAGGATCTATCAAATTCTCTGTTTTTAATATTAAATTTATGCTCGTTTGTCCTAACAGTCAGTGATCTTGAAGTTTGGCCCAGATAAAATTGCAACATTCAAAAAACATTCTATAAATGCTGTTATTTGATCTTTCTAGTTTATTGTTAAGTTTCAGCTTTTTAATATTAGGTTTTTCCAGTTTCAAAACAGCTTTTGAAGCGAAGCTTCTATACTGGCGTTGTAAACCTTTTTTTCTCTACATTAAAATGCTAAGGCGAGCGTCACGGAACTGGTTAAGGAATCTTTTCTCTCAAGCTAGAAGCCTAGAAAAGAGCTCTTTTGTAGACGTTTTGTTTTCAGAAATAATTGTTTAATTAAATATTAGTGTTGTCAGTGTAGAATATTAATAGCTTCATTATAACTGGTACTTTGTTCTGATTATTAATCTATCATCCTTCTTTATCTTGGTTTTTATTATAATTTTTAAAGTTTGGTTTAAAGGCACCAAGTAAAGCTAGTTATGTCAAAACTAAACAAAATTTTGTTATAATTGAAATTATTTCTGATAGTTTTTCCAGAAATGTTAGTTAGTACAGACGTTAAAGATTTGACCTCTAAAAATCGTACGAACAAGCTGAATTTTGCTCTAAGAATGTCAACTATATGTCAAAAATGTAGCTGAGATCATTTTGAACAAAAATGTTTGTTAGCATTTTTTGTGTAGAATAAAACTCTCAACACCGCTTGGAGCGACCGGCAATTTTGTATGTCGGTTCTATCTATCTATCTAATCAGCCTTAAACGCCCACTCTTGGGCATAGACCTCCCCTGTTAATCTCCATTGGTCTCTATTTTGGGCGATCTGCATCCAGTCCTTTCCTGCCGTTCTCTTAAGGTCGTCAGTCCATCTCATCTGTGGTCTTCCTCTTTTTCTTTTCTTTTCCCATGGTCTCCAGTGTAGAATTCGCTTATTCCATCTTTCATCTTTTTGCCGGAGAGTGTGACCGGCGAAGTTCCATTTAAGTTTTGCAACCTGTCTTGATACATCGTTCACCTTTGTTTTTTCTCTGATCCATGAGTTTCTTTTCCTGTCTTTAAGACCGATACCCAGCATCTGTCTTTCCATTGCTCTTTGTGTTTTGGATATCCTGTAGATGTTCTCCTTTGTGAAAGTCCATGTTTGTGAGCCATATGTGATAACTGGTAAAATGCACTGATTGAATACTTTCGTTCGCATATATTGAGGGAACTTTTTATTTTTTAGAATATATGATAGTTTACCAAATGAGGCCCATGCTAGTCTAGTTATTCTTTTTATTTCTTCTGTTTGATTGTCCCTGTTCAGCTTTATTATCTGTCCTAGGTATATGTATTCTGCCACTTGCTCTAATTTATTCTGTTTGACTACTATTTCTAATTGGTCTTCTTGGTTTGTCATAGTCTTGGTTTTACTATAGTTCATCTCTAGACCTACCTCTGTCGTTTTTCTATCTAGTTCCTCAACCATCTTCTGTAACTCTTCCTTCTTATCTGTTATCAGGACTATATCGTCTGCATATCTCAAGTGGTTCAAGAGCTCTCCATTTATTCTTATTCCGTATGTATCCCATTCTAATTTTTTAAATATGTCTTTCATAGCCTGATTGAACAATTTTGGTGATATTGTGTCTCCCTGCCTGTTTCCTCTTTCGAATTTTATTGGTTCTGTAGCGTGTTCGTTCGTCAATTTTATTGTGGTACTCGCATTTTTGTATATGTTTGTTATTAGGTCTGTGTACCTGTAATCAATTCTGCCGTTCTTTAGTGAGTTTTTGATGGCCCAATGTTCTATGCTGTCAAACGCCTTTCGGAAGTCTATGAATGCCATGTATAATGGGATTTGATACTCGTTCGACTTTTCAATCAGTATTTTTACTGTTAGCAGATGGTTGCTAGTACTAAAACCCTTTCTGAATCCCGCTTGTTCTCTTGCTTGGTATTCGTCAAGCTTAGTTGTTAGTCTATTTGTTATGATCTTCGTTAGTAGTTTAAATACAACACTTAGTAATGTTATAGGTTTATAGTTTTCTAAGTTCTTTCAGTCACCTTTTTTGAACATTAATAGTGCATCGTTCCAGCTATCGGGTATTTCTTTTGTGGTCAATATTTTGTTCATGAGGATATGTAGGACTTCTCTAGTTGTTTTCCCTCCTCTCTTCAGCATCTCTGCAGTTATTCCATCTTTTCCAGGTGACTTATGGTTTTAATTCTTGAATTGCTTTCTTGATTTCTGTTTTACTTATTTCTGGTTGTAGGTCAGAGTTTATATTCTTTATTTTTGTGTTTAATTGTTTAAGAATTTCTTGCTGTGGTTTATGTCTTGTTCTGTATAGGTGCGTATAGTATTCTTGTGTCAACTTTATTATTTGTTTCATATCATTAATGGTTGTTCCTTCGCTGTTTGTCATTTCATTTATCTGAGTTTTACCGAGTCGTTGTTTTAAGCATTTCATATTTTTGTTCTGCTGGATTACTCTTTCAATCTTTGCTTCCTGCGTTTTTCTCTTGGTTTTTTTATGGTTTTTCTAATTGTTTTATTGATTTCAGTATATTCTACTGTGTTTCTTTTGCCCTGTTCAAGTAGGCTTTTCCTTGTCTTCATCAGGCTTTCTACTTCTTCTGAGATATAATTGTCCTTTTTTGTCGTCGATTTTGCAATTCTTTCCCCGGCCTGTAGCAATGTAGTTGTTAGTATTTCATTTATTTCGTTTGTTTCTTTATTTATTAAGTCGGTTGTATTTGGGATGCATTTTTTTATTTCTTCTTTGTACTTTTCTTCGTTTTGGCTGTTTCTCCATATCTAGTTTTTGTACGTTTTTGATTTTCTTTCTGGTTTCAAATTGGCTGTTAATTTGTATCTTAGCCTTCACCATTCGGTGATCGCTGCCTGTTGTAAAACGCTTTAGCACTGTGACATCCTTGACTACGTATTTTTGTGTTGATAATATGTAGTCGATCTCGTTCTTAGTTTTGGTGGAAGGGCTTATCCAGGTCCATTTTCTCTGTGGCTTCTTGTTGAAAAAGAAGTTCATGGCGTAGAGTTTCCTTTCCTCCATGGAGTTCATCAGGGTTGTCCCTCTTTCGTTTCGTACACCATATCCATATTTTCCTATTTTTGTTTCTTCGTCATTTAGTCTTTGTCCTAGCTTGGCGTTGAAATCTCCCATCACAATTGCTAGTCGGGTCTTTTCTTCATCCAATGCTTTTGATATTTCTTCATAGAATGTTTCAATGTCTTCATCTGAGTATGTACTGGTTGGTGCGTATATCTGAATTAGTTTCAAAGTTGTTCTTTTAAATTTAATTATCATGTCGGTTACGAGCCCGAAATCAATTTTAAATTATATTTGTATTAACTTGACGGTAAAAATTTGATGTCTTTTGATCAGAGTGTCCTATTGTCAAAAATCATTAAAATCAAATACATTTTAAAGGTGAAAAGTGCAGCTTTCGTACAAAATTTTTGTATTTTGCCACAAATAAAGTCGGTTTTTATAAAGGTGTTAAATGCATAAACTTTACGCGATTTTTTTCATTTTTTAAAATTTTCGCTACAAAAAGAACCCATACTATTGCAAATTGGTCTCAGTGGTGCATTTGTTTTATGTATTTTCGGTACTTCATGAAGATGTGAAATGCTGTAATGGGATGTTAATGTTTTTTCTTGGTAGTCTGTCAAATATTCCTTGTTTGTAATTGGGTTTTTTAGTTTTACCGAAACCTATATTAGACACACTTTTGTAGTATTAATAAAATACATATCACAACTCTGTTAAACAGTGGTAATAGTCCGTAACTGTCATTTGTACACTCCATAAATTAACGTTGTATTGGTGTACTGGTTGTTTAATGCTGTGTAATGTGAATTATTGTTTTTACTACGCAGTACTAAACTTACGGCCACTAAAATAAAATCCTATAAATTTTATTTTAGTGACAATATCAAAATAATCAATAAAGTATTAATAGAATACAGATCGCAACTCTCTAATCAGTAGTAACTGTCATTTTTACTTCATAAATTAACTATCAATAATTGGTGTACTTGTTGTTCAATTATTTTGATGTGAATTATTGGTCTTTCAGTACTAAACTCAAATAAACAAAGCTATAAATTGTACTTTATTGACAGTATCAAAATAATCAGTAAAGTTAAATTTTTCACAACATATGTCTGCATAATTATATGAATACTCATTAAAATTCGTGTAGGTTACAAAGCATAAGTTTAATTAAGCAAATTCTAAGCAGTTTGTTGTGCTTTGATAGTGTAGAAATCCATTGGTGATTTGTATCGAACTTAAGAGAAAAAAATATTTGATAACTATATACAGCATTCTGTTGAACAATGGATAAATTTTCTAATTATTATATTACTGCAAAAACAGTTTACTAAGTCTACACAAAAATTATTATTTTGCAACAATATTCTTTTTGAGATATTTTTTGTTTTGCAACAGCGCTTACATGCACCATTATGTATGACGTCATTGACGTGCAGCGATAAGTATTTTACCATTTTTGTTTGTAGGTGAACAAGTGGTAGAAGATGACCACGGTAATAAAGTTGATAACATTGAAATGATTAAGAGCTTAACCGAAGGTTCCACTCTGGACTCTGGAGAATCAAATAGGGATACCTCTAAAGAACGTGATAAAAAGAGTGCAAAACATAGCCATAGGGATAGAGATCGAAATCGCAGTAAAGACAAGGAGTATCGAAGTCACCGATCTTCGAGCAGGGACAGGTAAATCTAAACTATTATATAAATTACTCTATTTTTTATTCCCTTCTGTCTTATTCTTAATTTTTGTATGTTTGAGACAATTAAAGGTTATTGTGTGATCACAACTGAAAAGAGTATACCGATTATTAGGAATGTATACACTTTAGAGAAAACACAATGCAATCTGTACATGTTTGTTTGCCTGTAGTTATTTGCTATGCTAGTGCGAACAGGGAGTCTCGTCGGTTACGACTTTTTGGCAATTTACAGACGAGTTCTGGATTAAACCTACTTTATAACCAAATTTTATGCAGTATATACCATTTTCCAATTATCGTATTTTTATTTACTTATATGTATATATTATCTAAATTGTCAGAAATTTGTATTGCCGTGCTCGTTTCCAATTTGCAAGCATATAAGTGTAATATAAAGGGGGTCCTTAACTAATTGTACAAAAGAAACAGCAGATTCTACACTTTAAAATATTACGATTTAAGCCAACTTGCTTTAATAAAATGTTTATATTAAAAAAGATACAGGGTGTTAGAGTAGAAATTTAAAATTTTATTTTTCGCTATAACTTTCATGTTTGTAAGCATTTATGTATAAAAATTTACAACTGGGTACTATTGAATATTAGGAATTATAATTTGATGCATACTTTGATATAGCTAATAGAGGGCGCCACATACGTGGCATACATTTGCACTTAACTTTTTTGTTCTTTATGTTACCGATATTTTTGATAAAAATATTAAAGATACATTATTTTAACAAAAAAAGGTATACCTGTTCAAACTTCAAAACTCAACAGTTTTCGAGATAATCGCATTTTACAAATCAACTGCATAATTCTGGTTTAACGCAATTACTCCAGACAATGAAAGAAAAACAGATAAAAATATCAATACTTCTGAATTTTGTTATAAAATACCTTTATAACACACCCTGCGAATACCTTTACTATAAATATAACTATAGTAGTTACCTTATAGTATTACCATATGTAATACTATAACATACCTTTATATGCGAATTACCTTGCAATTTAAATATCGAGATTTATTAACATTTTTTATAAAATGGTTTTATTGATTTATTGGAAAAATTGTCATCAAACTTAAGGCGAAATATGTGGTTTTTACTAGATGGTACACCATTATATTACAGAGAAAGTGGAGTGAGACAGTATTTAAATACAACTTTCCTGAACGTTGGATTGTTCGTGGTAGTCATATTCTTGTGGTGAGATATTAATATAATTATTTAATTCATAAAAATTTCAACAAATTACTTATTATACTTATAACACTTATAATAAATACTGCAGCAGTTTCTTTAGAACCAATGATCCTATTTAATATGAGATGATATTTTATGGAATAGTATTTTATACCAACATTCAGAAGTATTGATGTTTTTCTTTAATTTTCTTTCGTTGCCTGGAGTAACTGCGATTAATCAGAATGTAGTTGGTTTCTAAAATGCGATTATTTCGAAAACTGTTGAGTTATGATATTAAAAAGTATACTTTTTTTTTGTAAAAATAATGTATCTTTAATATTTTTTATTGAAAATACCGGTAACTTGAAGAGCAAAAAAGTTAAGTGCAAATGTATGCCACATATGTGGCGCCCTCTATCAGCTACATCAAATTATAATTTCAGATATTTAATAGTACCCAGTTGTAAATTTTTATACATAAATGTTGACAAACATGAAAGTTATAGCGAAAAATAAAATTTTAAATTTCCACTTTAACACCCTGTATCTTTCTTAATATCAACATTTTATTAAATCAACTTGACTTTAATCGTAATATTTTAAAGTGTAGAATCTACTCTTCCTTTTTGTACAATTACTTAAGGACCACCTTCTATATATAAACTGTGTAAATGGGTATATTTATTTAAAAAACCCTTAAAAGGGCCACATCAATAAAACAAACGTTTTCGGACCACACAGTCCATCATCAGGTTTTTAAAATCGAAAAATGCTAGGTCACAATGCCTGAGCCACCAAAATACTAGGATAAAAACCCTTTAAATTACATTTAGTTATAAAAGATTGTACATTGTGTTGTAAAATAACTGTGATGTTCAGTATTAAATTAAATTAGACTATAGGTAACACATGGCTCAATCGGGTTCCAGAGCCGGTGAGAGGGAACCTCTCACCGGCCTGGAAGTGCCGACTTGCCTGTCACTGCTCTTATGTCACTGCAGTTATTTTACAACACAATGTACAATATTTTATAACTAAATGTAATTTAAAGGGTTTTTACCCTAGTATTTTGGTGGCTCAGGCATTGTGACCTAGCATTTTTCGATTTTAAAAACCTGATGATGGACTGTGTGGTCCGAAAACGTTTGTTTTATTGATGTGGCCCTTTTAAGGGTTTTTTAAATAAATATACCCATTTACAAAGATTAACCTCTTTTTGTTATACGTGGTATATAGCCAGCTACAGGAATTTTTCCTTGTGGATTTTATATACAGTGTAGGTAAAATTTTAAGGTCGGTATGGTAAAATTTAACAGGATATCTAACGCAGATATAAAATCATATTTTCAACGAATTAGACAAAGATAACAATCATATTTCCCCTTCGTCTCCCCTCTTAAAATCCCTTTAACACTCATTGGCCATTGCCCATTAGTGAGACGATTAGTTCCGATCAGATATTCTCTGGTTCCGATCCTAATATACCTAAAAAACTAGAGGTGGGTCTTCTCGTTTTTTTAATTTTTATCGGAACCGTTTTTCGTAAACTGTAACTAGTTGATTGTTTACCAGTATTCAAATTAGCGAGTACACAAACATATTAGCTATTATCGTTTATGTGTATAAGTATTGAAATAAAAGAACCTAACGAAGGATATATTTATTGTAACTTGAAAAATAAATTAAATAATACAAATGGTACTTAAATAGTTACATTTACATTACACATTATTAAATCGCGAATCGTCTAAATTGACATTTAAAAACATAAGTTTTTCCACTTTTCTTGTTAATCGCGTTCTTCTTTTATTTAAAATTATACCAGATGTTAAACATGTGTTCACAAGGAAAAGATTTTGTTACAATACTACAACATTTTATGAATATAGTGGTTAAGTTACGATATACATGGCGATGGTTTTTTCACCACGGTAATGGACAGTTCCAATCTCCGTTCGAAATTGTTTGTGGGTAATATATCATCAGACAATTACATGTCGACTTCTTTTATACCTCTCGATACAGGTGTATGTTTAGATGAGTCATGTCCAATTAATTCATCAAAAATACACCATGGACTTAAATCGTCTAAATTGACATTTAAAAACATAAGTTTTTCCACTTTTCTTGTTAATCGCGTTTTTCTTTTATTTAAAATTATACCAGATGTTAAACATGTGTTCACAAGGAAAAGATTTTGTTACAATACTACAACATTTTATGAATATAGTGGTTAAGTTACGATATACATGGCGATGGTTTTTTCACCACGGTAATGGACAGTTCCAATCTCCGTTCGAAATTGTTTGTGGGTAATATATCATCAGACAATTACATGTCGACTTCTTTTATACCTCTCGATACAGGTGTATGTTTAGATGAGTCATGTCCAATTAATTCATCAAAAATACACCATGGACTTAAGTCATCTTTATCAGTTTCTTTTTCTTGGACTGATTGATTTTCAAGATTTACTAAACTTTTCGTTTCATCCGTTTTCCATAGTTAAAGAACCAGCTTTTAAAAAGTTTGCAGGGTGGATTCCTGGATATAAACCACCAACAAGAAAAACTTTGTCAGGTTCATTACTTCAGGAATATTATGTCAAAAGTGAGCAAATTATTAGATCGCAAGTTGTTAAAGAAGTAGAAAATATCTGTATTACCTGGACATCTGGAGTAACTGAGAGTTACTTCGCATTAACAGGACAATATTTAACACAGGACAATAGTTTTTATGTCAATTTAGACTATTCGCGATTTAATAATAACGTGTAATGTAAATGTAAGTCCGATTTACTATTTGTATTGTTTAGTTTAGAACAGAATATTTCAAACAGAATATTTAAAAATTGGAGGAAATACCACAGATCTGAGGCTTGAAAACGCAGACATAAAAGGCTGCAACCAGTATAAATATCTAGGAAGCATCATATCAGCAGATGGCAGAGTTAAGATAGATGTACAAAACCGAATAACCCAAGGGAAAAAATGCATCCGAATACTGAATTCATTACTGTGGTCTAATAAAATAAAGATGCATACCAAACTTCGCGTATACAGAGCAATTGTAGAACCAATTACCACATATGGTGCCGAATGTTGGACGATGACAAAGAATGAACGAGATAAAGTAGACGTTGTGGAAATGGATTATCTTAGACGGTCATGTCGAGTATCGAGAATGGAAAGAATCAGGAATGAGGAAATACGAAACCGTACAGGAATTAGAGATACTCTTTCAGATAGAATACAAGGAAGGCAATTACAATGGTATGGTCACGTGATGAGAATGGAGGAGGAGCGGTGGCCAAAGAAAGCCTTAATGTATGTTCCGCCAGAAAGAAGGAAAAGGGGAAGACCACCAAATTCCTGGAGAAGAGAAATTACAAAACCAATGCAATCTAGAGGCTTAGAAGAGGGAGATTGGAGAGATAGGAAAAGATGGAGGCTGAAATGCGGGAAGCGGCAATCGCCGTAGGACCCCCGTTATGATGATGATGATTGTTTAGTTTATTTTTCAAGTTATAATAAATATATCATTAGGTAGTTTCTTTCACTTCAAAAGATATACACATAAACGATAATAGCCGTTATGTTTGTTTATGTAGGTACTATCTTACTTGAAACTACTTTTAAACAATCATAGTTACTTGTTTATAAAAATTAAAATTTTTAAATGCTTTTTAGCATTCAAAAAAATTAAAATTTATTTGGAATCCTGAGAAAACTAACAAATATTTTTGAAAAATTTAAATGCAGAATGAAAGATTACATTATTACCGAGGGCCGAAGGTCCCTTAGAATAAACAAAAAGTTTTTTTAATGAGATATTTGAAATTAAAAATCACACTAAATTTTGTTTTTTTTTTTCATCCCTATAACTTATTAAAATACACATTATAGAAGTTTTCAGGGACTTTCAGCTCTCGGTAATAATGTATTGTTTCATTCTGCGTTTAATTTTTTCAAAAATATTTATTAGTTTTCTCAGGATTCGAAAAAAATGAATGCATTTAAAAAACATTGACCCGGAATTTTGCACCTACGCTCTTAACGATAAACTAGCACGACCCACCTCTACTTCTCGTTACTCGATCTTTTGACCAAACCACCGAACAACGGTGGCCAAACGACTATCTAGACTAGACGTTGCCAAATAAATTAGTGTATGAATATTTTTTAATTTGGCGTTATTGTATGCATGTTTAATTGTTTATTATTTCATATTGGGAAATTATTTTGATGTTTAGATTTTTAGTTCGGAAATCGTACTTAAAATACGAAACATTAATAAATTTTATTTATATAAAACGATTTCCGAAATGGAAATCAAAATGTTATATTACAATTATTGTAAAGAAAACTTGTGGCATATTCCCAATAAAAAAAACAGTAACCTGCCATTTAAATCAATTTCGCCCAAATTTGATTATCTTGAGCATTTTATCTTCTTGATAGAACATTGTTCAAATGCAAAAAAGACAACAGGTCAAATAAAACCAATAAGTTTGGCAACGTTGAATTTCCCCTTTTTTAATATTTCCATTCGGCGATATAAAGGGCGTACCTAATATACCTCTCTCTTTTTAAACAGCTGTTTCTCACTCCATCTCACGTAAGGTCCATACCGACCATAAAATTTTTCCTACACTGTATAAACTATCCAATGGACAAAATTTTTGTTTTCCAAATAATTTAAGTCACACAATACAGTTTGAAATTTACCATAAATCACCATAAATTCTGCCTGTTTTTATTTGTCAACGCAATTATTTTATTTTTATATTTGAATTATTAAGATCTTTTGGTAAATTAGTTTCTTAAATTTATTTTAGAGATAAAGAGAGGAGTAGACGAAGATCTAGGAGTCGGGATCGAAAACACAGCGATCGAAAGAAACGATCTAGATCAAAAGAGAGAGATAGACACAGAAAATCATCACACAAATCATCAAGACACAAGAGAGATATAATTTCGACTACTGAAAAATTGGATAAAAAATCCAAGGAAATTCTCGAACAATTAGTTGATAATAAGATAGTGCCACCATTGGAAGATAGGTTATGGAAACACGTGCCCCAAGAAGACATTGTTCCAGGTAAGGGTAAGTGTAGAATCGTTTTAGTTCGTTAGAATGATGTCACTACTAAACTAACTTTATGTTTGTCTTTGTGCTTTTTATTTATGTTTAACCAGTTTTAAAAAGTCGCTTTATATATTTAACCTTTAGTATAATAAGTTTTAACAAAAAGTTTTCTTTGAAATTTCTACCTGATTGTAATGTTTAGTCTCTCAGATAGGAATAGTTACCATTCAACATTATTATGGATTAAAGTCAACTTTAACATTTTTTCATTGATTCTGTTCAAAATGCCGTATAAACACGAGATAAGTTACTTCTGAATATCTATCAAAAAATAGTATTTGGAACAATGTACAAATCGAAAAATAACTGGGTGCAGTGATGCAGCTTAAACCGAATAATGGAATAAGTAAACAATTGGAATACCAGAAGACTTAATAATATCTTATAAACGGAAAATTCCTAGTGTTTGGCTGTATATCATAGTTTAAAAAAATTACTAGGATGTGTAAACCTTTTTGTGTGGTTAATACATTAAATTAATAATGAAAATATCCAAAAGGATTACAAAATTTTGAAACGATTTCAGTCTTATCAGGACATGACCAGTGATACTTAAAAGTAAGTAATTTCACTTTAATGCAAAGAGTGTAAGAATGTGATTTAAAGATGAGTGTATGACATCGTTTGACTACGTTTGATTTCCTCAGAAATCAAACGTAGACTAGGAATGGCCCGAACCGCAACTCCTAAATTAATTAAAATATGGAAAGACCGAACAATAACAAGGAATACTAAGCTTAGGTTGGTCAATGCCCTTATTTTTCCCATTGCTACATATGCAGCTGAAACATGGACTCTCAAAAAAATCGATAGGAGTAAGATCGAAGCCTTCGAAATGTGGGTATATAGAAGAATTCTACGCGTGTCCTGGACAGAACATAGAACCAACCTGTCAATTCTGGAAGAGCTTCATATAAAAGACAGGCTACTAAAAAAAGTAAACCAAGCATACCTAACTTACTTCGGCCACATAGCTAGAAGAACGGGCACCATGGAACTATTGGTAGTAGAAGGTAAGGTAGAAGGCCGAAGACCAAGAGGAAGATCTCCAATACGATGGGTGGACCAAATGAAGAGTTTGGTGGGAAAATCCCTACATGAAGCCGTCCATATGGCACAAGATCGCAGTCAATGGAGACAGCAGACTAATAATATTTAGGGTGTCACTACGCCCTGACAAGGGCTAAAGGATTGAGGAGGAGGAGTATGACATGATCGGTCTGTGTAGATTTCCTGCAGATACGAAAATTGAATTGGTCATTGAGTCTGGTAATAGATAGGTCTAGAAACTCACAACTCCATCAACTTACTAAATAATAACGAATTAAACATGATTCAGCAAATAGCAGTCAACAATGGTTACAATTCAAATATAATTCATAGCAACAGCTCTTCCTATCACATCGATCCACCTTCTAAGCATCAATACCGTTCCACCATATAAAACTTTTCGAAAAGATTAAACATTGTCTTATTTAATCATTTGTAAAAAATACTCAAAATAAAATTTTAACTAATACCAAAAACACAATCAATTTTTTAATTTGGTGTAAGGCTATTGCATAACATCCAAAAAAATTGTTGCGTCTAGATCTGTATTAGGATTTAAATTTAAAAATTATTAGATACGAAAAGAACAATCAAAATTACTTTCACCGTTAGATTTTAATAGTTTTGATAATATAAGGTTGAATGCTCGAATAAACGAGCTTAATATTCCCAATACTGACCTACGGATGTGAATCTTGGACTCTGAGTCCATCTCCAACAATTAACATATTTTGGGCATGTTATGACAGCAGAACACAGAAAACATGGAAAGACTCATAATACAAGGAAAGGTAGAAGGCCGAAGATCACGAGGAAGATCCCCAACAAGATGGATAGATCAAATTGCAGGAATATGCCAAAGACCTATGCATGAATTAAAAGAAATGACCAGAGACAGATCTCTGGAGACGGACAATACACGACATCACGTCGACCACTACACTCCCCCTGGGGGTCAGGATTGAAGAGAGAGAGCTCGAATAAATGTACTTTGATAAAATGAAATGCATATTTCGAGCACTGTATTTATTAATTAAATCTTGCCCAAGTACTTTAACTACCTAGAGCATCTTCGGGTGCATTTCGTCAAATTTTGGGCTATCCAAAAATTGCAGAATGTCATAGACTTAAAATTAAACATAAAATGAAACATACAATTGAGCATAACACTACACTAAACAAGGACAAACAGTTTAAAATTATTTTAAAAATAGTGGAAGCTACATTCTGGTCGGCAACAGGAGAAAGAATTATTTTTCCTGTTGCCGATCAGAATGTAGCTTTCCACTATTTTTTAAATAATTTTAAACTGTTTGTCCTTGTTTAGTGTAGTGTTATGTTTAATTTTATCATATTTATCATATTCATGGCTTTAGAATATTTAAAAACTATTTCACATAAACCAAGTTATTACACACTTGGAAAAACAGACAGATTTCACTTCGACAACCCAGACCTAACGATTAAGAACATTAATGAGCAGTTTCAAAAGTTGTTTACTGGGAATAATCTTATCATCAAATACAAGACCTATTTCAAGTTTTTAAGAGAAACTAATTTTACATTCAAAAAACTGAAGACTGACACATGTGATTATTGTCATGAGTGTGAAATAAAACTAGAAAAGAACCTGAATGATGAATGCCGTGTTGATTAAAATCTCCATAAAAAGAGACTAAAGACTGCAAACGAATTCGTTCGTTGTAATGTGGACGAAAGACCAAATTTTCCATCGAACGTCGAAAACATCGAATAAATTCGGTCGAAAGGCTTCGGTCACATGTGTTCGCCAGATGTGTACGCGCCTTAAAAAGTATCCGAAAAAAATATCCGGATACTTTTATCCTAATACATTTTTAAGTGAAAGTATTTGTACTTTTTTAAAAGTATCTTAATACATTTTGATATCGACACTCTTGAATCTTTTTTTAGTGTCTGACCTAACTCTGAACTCGTAAATTACGTTTAGATCATTCAATAATTCACTTTTATATCCAATCTTTAATCTCACATGCTATATTCAAATAATTCTTTAAAAAATCAAAGATCATTTGTTAGCCATACTCTTTCAAATGAGTCACCATTTTCGAGTAAGGGCTCAGTGTGTTCCCTTCTAGTTGAAATGCATAATCATAGACTTTATTTCATTAAATTATTACATTTTATATGTAAAGCAAAAGTTTTTAAACCGGTTTGTAAGTGACTTTTTGCACAGTCGAAATTTTACGCCCTTTGCATTAAAGTAGAGTTCTTACTTTTAGATATATCACTGATGATGAAAACGTTTTGAAATTTCGTAATGCTTTAATTAATTTGACACCTCCCTGTAATTTGACACACTACCTAACAGAAGAAAAACTGGATCACCAATAAAATTAAATTATTGATTTAAACCGTGTTTGACAAATTTACTGTGGTATGCTATAACATGTAAATAATCTGGATTGAAATTATAGCCACTTCCAAAAAAGAATTCCATAAATTGAGTAACAAAATATTTCAAATATATAAAAAATATTGTTATTTTTTTAATGTTTTCTCTTATTCGACTAGCATAAATTATCGCTGGTTATTCTAAAGATCCTGTTCTATCTTGCATCCACTCATTTATGAAGTCTACATTGCATGCGTTTCTGATTTCATTAATCCTTGTTTATCCATCGTTGTTTTTCTAGTTATCTTCGTCTATAGCGTAGCGTAGCAGCAAATTTACTAAGATGTAAATTAGAGCTGGAAGGTCAGATAGTAGAACAAGTGATGTAGTTTAAATATCTAAGCATCACATATAGCTACGGAAATCTCGAAACCGAAATGGAAGATCAAGTTAATAGATTAAACATCCGCAGGCTGCCTAAATGAAACAATATGGAGAAATAAAAATATCGGGAAAGAAACGAAATGCAGAATTTACAAAACAGTCATCAGACCAATAATGATATACACGGCAGAAACAAGACCTAACACAAAGAGGACAAAAAGGATGTTAGAAACGGCAGAGATGAAAAAACTTCAAAAAATTGATGGTAAGACACTATGGGACAAAGCTAGAAGTACAAATATACGACATATATGCAAGGTGGAGAACGTCAAAAACTGGGTAAGAAATAGAAGAGTAGAATGGAAAGATCATATAAGCCGAATGACAACAAATAGAGTAGTATAGACGGCAAGAGACGGTTCCCCAATAAGAAGACGCTCGGTAGAAAGACCACGAAAACGATGGAATGACAACTTACTGGAGGCATATTAAAAAACAGAGTCATGTCTATATAAAAAGAAGAAGTAGATGTTCACTTATGCCATTACAAAGAAAATGTTCATCGTGTAGTTCCCGTTGATTTTCACATAAAAAAAAATGTATTAAACCTGTAGCAGGTTAGCTAAACCGAGTTTACTCTAATTTTGATTCACCTCAATGTTTCAATTGAATAAAGTTTTTATTTCTGAGCCTTCAGAAGTTTGTGGACTGTATTTCTTTGTATGAAAAATAATTATTCTGACTGTCACCTTTTATTATAAATCTTATAAAACTTAAAATATTAACAAAAACAAAAAAGAATGTCTTATTTTTTCCTCTTGACAGCTACACGTGGTGTCGTTGTCGCTAGTGTTCAATGCATGCGCCCTGTGGCCCATGCAGGGACGGCTCTTGCATTGTTGACTGCTGAACATGCCGCCCCCCTTGAAAGGCTTAAGTGATGCCTTTCAAACAACGCTTCTTGTAAACCATAACCATTATTGTTCATCCATTGGCAGGACTGCTAACTTTACACAAGGCCTTTTGAATTCACCTTTAGAAGTACGCACAGTCACAACCCGCACAACATTATCTGTCCCAGCATGTAGTTGCAATATTCTACCCAATTCCCATTTAGTAGGAGGAAGACCATCCTCTTGAATAATAACCA